ACACATACACACATTCAAGCACACACACGCACGCACACACACACACACCACCCACAGGCCTCAACAACAACAGCTACCAGATCAGCCGAGGCCTTTACCACAACTCACGGGTCGGCCACGCCATCACCGAGACCTGCAACTTCGTAAAGGCGGATTTCATGCGGATGCCGTTTGAGGACGGCGCCTTTGATGCGGTCTACGAGATCGACGCCACCTGCCATGCGCCCGACCACGTGCGCTGCATGCGCGTATGTGTGTGTTCGCGTGTGTGCCCCCACGCGCGTGCGCGAGCACAAGGCTGGTTTGGCGCGTGCGTGCAAGCGTGTGGGCTTGCGAGAAGGGTTGCGGCGGTGCATTAGGCAGGCGAGGGTGGCCCTGCCGTGCACGCCTTCAAGTGTGAGCTGGCCTTGGGGGCCGGCTGCCAGGCCTGGCGGGCTGGGCTCTGCGCCAGCCCGCGCCCTGAACGCCGCTCCACCAAAACCTGAGGCCCTGCCTCAAGCCACGCACTCAGACCTGCCTCCGCCGTCCCAAACCACACAATGAACTAAACCCTGAATATCCCAGGTGGGCTGCTACCGGGAGGTGTTCCGGGTGCTGAAGCCGGGGGGCCACTTTGCCGGCTACGAGTGGTGCGCCACCAGCGAGTACGACCCGAAGAACGAGCAGCATCGCAAGGTGTGTGTGTGTTTACGCGCACATGTGTGTGTGTGTGTGTGTGTGTGTGTGTGTGAGTGTGTTTTTGTGTGTGTGTGTGTGTGTGTGTGTGTGTGTGTGAGTAGTTGGGCGTCAGGATGTGGGTGTGGGTGTGTGTCAGGGTGTGAGTGTGGGCGTGGGGGGCGAGGTGGATGGGCGGCGGCCTGAGGGCTGCGGAGGTCAGGGGCCGAGGGCAGCTGGCCTGACGTGTTTCTACACCGGGGGCCCCCTGCAGCCAAGCCCGTGAAGCCGTCCGGCAGGTGCGGCTTCCATGCGTCTCCCCCACGCGGAAGTTCCCACTGTCGTTCGTCAACAACCCTCGCCGCGCCCGCTGGGCGCGGGGCTGTTCGCACTGGGGCTCTGGGACGGTCCCAAAAACGGCCGAGGTGGGTGGCACCCACCTCGAAGGTCCCAAAACCCTATCCTTGAAGCCGGGTCCGATCCGCCCCGCCTGAAACCCTAAACCCAGATCATGGCGGAAATCGAGCTCGGTAACGGCCTGCCAGATGTCCGCACAACTGCCGAGACCGCAGACAGCCTCAGGGCCGCCGGCTTCGAGGTGCTCGACACGCGGGACCTGGCGCTCGAGGCGGATGTACCCTGGTGGGATCCAGTGGACCCAGACTCCTGGCGGCTCGGGAGTGAGTGCCAGATGTATGAGTTATGGGCTGGTTTTGGTTGGGATTCAGGAGGGTCTGGGGCGCTTTTAAGGGGCGGTCAGTTGTTCCAGTGTGGGCCGCGGCTGCTGTGGATGGCGGGCCGCTTGAGGAAGGGCGAACAGAGGGGTCGGGGATGCTGGATGCTGGGCGTGTGGCGCTGGCAGCCAACACAGGGAGTGGTGGCTGCCACACACCAAGGAGTCCCGGCCAACGACCCGGCAGACTCGTGTGGCGCCTTGCAAGTCTCCGCTATCCTTGTGACTTTCAAGTTTGGATTGTTTGGCATCGAGCAGCCGCGACAGACAGTCTCTAGATGACAGGCTCGGATGCTGCTGGAGTCAAAATCCGTGGCGCACCGCACATGTTTGGGCTGGGGCTCGCCACGCCGCTGTCTCTCGAGGGTTTGGTGTCGATCAGCCTATATATATATATATTCTACCATCCGCCTGACTCAATCCTACTTATGAGCTTGAGCAAAGGCATCATGGAAAGTGTTACACGCGCTGCCCCAACGCTCGCGCTTTTGAATCACAGCTCGGCACATGCGGCGCGTATCCTCGAAACGCCGTGGCCCCTGCCATGCCCCCACCCCCCAGACTTCCGCACCACTAAGGCGGGCCGCAGGGTGACTCACGCCTTGGTGCGTGGCCTGGAGGCGGTCGGTGTCGCGCCAAAGGGCTCCTTGGAGGTACGCGCGCGCGTGCACGTGTGTGTGTGTGTGTGTGTATGCTTGTGCGTGTGTGAGTGCATGCGTGCGTGTGTGTGAGTGTGCACGTGTATTTGTGTGAGTCCACGTGTGTGCATGTGGGTGCACGTGCAACACTCCTTCCTGTACAGCCATCCGCTGTTATATATGGAGCCTGTTCGACTCGCATGTGGTGCACATGGAAGGGTGGCAGACGACCTGCGCGCAATCACCCGACCCGAGCGGGCAATTGCGGCCAGCTTGGCTGGCTGGGCTGCTTGGGCGCGTGCAGGCTGGGTCGGGCGCCCCTTGGCCCGAGCATCAGCGCCCCTGAACGCAACTCAACCCTCGATCAACAATCACACAAGGCACCGCGCCTGCACACCCAGTTCTCACACACTCGCTCATCCACGCACACAGACGCACGCTCCCACACACGCGCCCACCATGGATGCACGCACGCTTTCACACACACACACACACACACACACACACACACACACACACACGTTCATACATGCGTACCTGCGATTCCCTCAGGTCGCGACCATGCTGGAGCAGGCAGCAGACGACCTGGTGGCTGGCGGCAAGACGGGCACCTTCACACCACTCTTCTTTTTCCTGGTGCGGAAGCCGCTGCAAGCTGCCAGCTAGCGAGCTCACCGCCGCCTACGCATGAGAACCCAACAGAGCAGTGGCCCGAGGTTGTTAGTCCCCGGGTCCGCGTCGGCGTCCTCATTTTCTGGCATCTTGACTGTGTTCTGAGTGCGCTCAATGCAATTCTGGGCGTGCTGTTCGGACTGCCGTCGAAGAGAGGAAAGGAAGAGTTCCGGGTTCTATAAGAGTTTCTGCTTTGCCCTGGGGCCGTCACACAAGCCTAGTTCGTTCAGTGTAGATAGCGTAAATAACCGTGTTTGAGAGGACGTTTGATCGGCCTTGTCCTGCTGCGCAATTGCTGCTTACGAGTGCTGGGCCGCGCATGTGCCAGACGGTATCCTCGGGCACAGCCCGCCGCGGCCATCAAGGATCAGGCTAAGAGCGCCCACGAGCTGTAGATGGTGCGCAGACATCCTCGCTGCTGATGCGATGATGCAATAGCTGCATCTGTACGGACAGCTAGTGAAAACGCCAGATCAGGAACTCTGTAATGTAGTCAGTCGGCCGCCTTGCTTTGACCCTTGACACGCCACACCTCAGCTCATCCAGCTCTGCACGAGTTGGCGCTGCCAGGCCGCTGCGCAGAGCTGCAAATGGATCGACCACGGGATTGTATGCATCTAGAGAGGCCAGACTTGAGTGTGGACGGATGGGTGCATGAGGGTGTTACTTGCAAAAACCTCAAAACGCCCGGCGGCGGCCCGCCGCCCGCGCCATGTGCCCGGCTCGCCACACGCGCCCGGCCCGCCACCTGCTCCCGCGCACGCGCCCGTTCCTGCAGCGGGCCCCTGCCGACGTGGCGCTCCCCGCCGCGTGCGCCCCGCCGCTGCGCGGCGCGTCGAGCCCGCCTCAGAAGAACTCGCAAAACAGCAGCCGCTCCCACAGCATGCCCTGGGCCAGCGGTGTGGAATGTAAAGGGGCCGGGGTGAGTGACTCGGGTAGGGCCGCCCGCCGACGCGGCCGGCGCCCGCCGCAGCCGGCTGACTCACCGCCCCGTGCCGCGCAGCTGGGCCCACCACGCCGCGCCGGGCGGCCTGCAGATGCGCCTCGACAGCTGCCGCGGGTGCGGTAGCTAGGGAGTCGGGTGCCTCCTTGACGAATGACTCCCTACCTGCCGCACCGCCGCCCTCGTGCCCCTGCCTCCCTCCCTCCCGCGACTGACACCCCCAAAACATACCCGCGCTGACCGCATCCCGCGCCAGCATCCTCTCTCCCCCCCCCCTCCAGGCGCCTCTCCAAAAAGAGTTGCTGCCGACGCTCAAAAACACCCACACAAAAAACACCCGCAGCCCCGCCACCCACCCACCCACCTTGAACGTCAGCTCCTTCGCAACCGCGCTCGCCACGTCGCCGCTCAGGCCGGCCAGCAGCACCGTGCACTCGCTCGGCCGTCCCCCGACGGCGCCCTCGAGCCCACCCACGTTCAAGAACAGGCCCTGTTCCAGAAGGCCAGTCACGTCCTCTTGGCCGGCGTCCGCCTCGTCAGCGCCGCCGTTGGCGGCGCCGGCGGGGGAGGCGCGCGGGCTGTCCGGCAGGAGTGATTCGGTGTAGAGCGGCCGGAAGTCGACCTGCGACGGTTGGCGGCGGTTGGCGGCGGTTGGCGACGCGGGTGCACGTGGCTGAGCGGAGCTGGGGCTAGGTTTGATGGGTGGGGCGTCTCCGATGCATCAGGCTGTGGGCGGGCAGGCAGAGAGGGGGGTGCACGAGGCGCGCACGGCCGCCGGGGGCGCCAAGCACCGAGCTGAGGCGCGCTCGCGCCGGCCGGGGACGCAGTGGCCCGTCGCAGTGACTGGCGCTGCAGGGGCGGGCAAGTGGGCAGTAGGACGAGTGCAGGGTGTGAAAAAGCCCCCCACCCCCATCCCCCTAAAAAATGAGGCTGGCGTAACCCACCCCGGCCTCGCGCCACTGGTCCCACTCCGGCAGGAACGCCGCGGTCGATGGGGAGCGGGTGACGTACAGGCACGTGACCTGGCGGTCGACGGGTGACGGCGGGTGACGGCGGGTGACGGCGGGTCGCCATCTCAAAACACCCAGCAGGCGCACGGCTGGGGCCCAGAAATCAGGCAGCCCTCCTGCCAACCAAAACATCGACGGCGTCAGGGCGCCGCTTGGAGATCTTTATCGCAAGCAGGGCAAACCTCTTGCTTGTCAGCAAGCTAGGAAGCCGCACGCGAGGGGGGGGGGCGCACCTTGTGCTGCGTCGCGTGCGCCAGCACCGGCGTCCAGTTGAGCGCCGCCCGCGCCGCCGCGATGCCCCGCGCGCCGACTGCGAGCAGCAGCAGGTTTCGGCGCTCCTCAAGCGCCGCCATGAGGGAGGCGTAGGATGAGAAGAGGCTGCAGAAGCCGCGGCCGATGAGCTGGCTGACCTGGCGGTCGGCGGTTGGCGGTCGGCGGTCAGCGG